CCCCCCCCAGCTGAAAAAGCATCTGTGGCATCGCGTGCAGCCCCGTGGTTTTTCCACTGGTTGTTGAACCACCGCAGCTGGGCCTTTAGTGGCGCTCCACTAAAACCACCAGCGACTGTTTGGTGCTTTAATGTGTCCACACGTCGTTTGCTCGGCGTATTCGGCGGTTCTCACATCCACCACCACCCATAAAGTAGCGTGTTGTGGTGGGGAACGGCGACAAGAACCGACTTAACCCTTCACGAGTCATTTGTCGACTCGAGGCTTCCTACTAAGGCGAGATTTGGGAAGTTGATTTTATTTTCCGGCTCATATCAGAAGATCTCTAAGAGCACAGCACTTGAAATGACTTGAAATGAGGTTAATTTTATCTTTGTGGTGAGATATTTTGTATTTTCTATCTTTTCCTATTCGGTAAAGACACTGTCAAATCAACAGAGTGAATTGATATCTTCAATTAGATTTTTTAATTGAATGTACTGACAGTATTTCTACATAATAATAGGAATGATTTTGTCTTAAAAGTCACAGATCACAGCTGCTCGCGCGCGCAAAAGCCAAAGGAAGAGTACTCACTTTTTCACCCAAAATCTAAAATCCTGCACCATGCTCCGCCGTTTTCCCCTCAGAAAACACCCCGGTTCTCTTTGTGTGTGTCAGTTCTCCTCTGCTCTCCGGGCGACAAGGAGCCGCGAGAGGAAAAGGTTTTTGAAACTTTTTTTTCTGAAAATACGCGTCTCCCGGCTGGCTCAGAGCGGGACGGCCTGCGTTGTGCGCCATTCTTCCGAGTCTATATTCCAACCCCACACCACAGGAAACGCACTTGGGCTGATCCAAGTTCAAAGTCACGTTTGCCGACCTTTTAGAAGAAGTTCTTTATTCCCCCAGATAGGGAATGAAGCTAAAGAAAATGAAAAAGGAGGAGGGAGGAGGGAATCAATAGGTAAGGCGGCGGTATGGCTGCTACTTTTGGGAAAGAAAAAAGGGGGTCTGGCCCACTGAAAATCCCCCAAAGAGCAGTATTTCAACAGGTTTTGAAGGCACTAATGCGCACTAGATATAAGGCCCGCAGATGTAAGAAATAAATCACCGGGAATATAACTCACAATCTGGAGTAAGAGCTCAGAGCTGAGGTGACAGCTCCCACCGGCTGTATTTGCGCAGAATAGCCATCAATAAAATCAACAGTCTTGATCACATAAGGGCGCCCGTGGCTGCGTGTGATGAGACACGCCAAAGGCCTCCTGGTTCTCTTCCCCCCTGTTCTCTGACAGTATCAATATGCTGACAGACTGGAGGGTTACTTGCGTGGCTTTTCTTCGACCTCTGTGTGTCATGGATGTTTGACCTATGACCCATTAAGACCACAAATGCTGCCCTTTTGACTCTTTTTGGTAAATTAACCCAGTTTATGACACAGCGTCTTTGTTTTAGGGATGGGGGGAAGTTTCAGACACCCACACCCCCCCCACCCTCCACCCCCCAACACACACACACACACACACACACACACACACACACACACACACAC